TAAAGAGAATTACACCATATGAGGGAGATATAAAAAAGTACTGATATGTGCATCCCCAGAATATATGTGTGCATAACCTCTAGATCTTTGCACAAACTCAAACTAGTCTCAGTTTAAACATTCAGAGAATGAGGACAAGCAAGAGATATATGAGACAAACACCTGACTTGATACACTACATACTGTGTTCACTCTGCTAGTTACACTCTGTCAACATGCAGATATGCTGCTTGCTGTGACTGTTGTTTCTTATCAACATTCCTGTCTTGACCTTGGTTCAGACACATTGGTCAACTTTGAGACGACTGAGAGGAGAATACAAACACTTGCTGCCCGTGGTTTGTTGACTAGTGTAAGGTAAGGTTTGCCTGGTGTATAAATAGACAGAGAAGGTCTAACGCTTCATTTCTGAGGTTTTCCTGACAGGAACCACAAGCACAGAAGCAGTCAGGAAACTGTGAGACACAAATGTGTTCTCTCCTAGAGCCGTTGTGTTGTTTGATTTTCTCTAAATGTGAGTGTAATTTTACCTCATGTTTGAAATATTCCTTTTATGACTCTGTCTTGGGAGAGTGTGCTTATGTGATGGAGGAGAAAACTGGCAGACCAACAAAGATATAAGTATATAAGAATAGCATGATTTTAGGGTTTAGTTTTAGTTTACTAAAACTTTACTTTAACTAGCTGGAGACACCAACAGACTAAATAAACAGAACAGGAAGGCTGACTCTGTAATTGACTGTTGGTTGGTGTTTGTAGTGATTTTTGGTAGTTGTCATTGGTAGTTGTAGTGGTTGGTTGTTGTAGTTGGTTGCTGGTTGTTTATTGTTAGTTGTTATTATTGTTGGTTTCTGCTGTTCGTCAGTTGTTATTGGTGGTGATTGATGCCAGCTGTTGCTGTTGGTTGTTGGTATTGTATCATTATTCAACTGCTGAAATAAAAGAATTTGTGAAATAGGGGATTTTGTGTTTTCCATCAAATTGTATTGTAGTTGTATCTAAATGATTTAAACAGTTAGCTGTTAAAAATGTATTAAAGTTTCATTTGAAGATCAGTCTGAAGGCAGAAAGGCTGCTGATACAAGTGTTAAATAAAGATAACTGCAGCACAGCCTCTCACAGTACCATTAGTTATTGGCTAAAAAACAGATTTTAAATTTAACCTGTCATTAAACACAGGTGTTTGCCTTTATGGCAGCTGAACGTAGCAACAGAGTAGCAAATAAAAAGAATGACATGTGGCTGGTTAAACGCTGAAGTGCGTTTAAACAATAACTTAAAGCACATAGCAAGTATTTTATTTCTTCATGTGAGGGCAAGCACTACTTCAAACTGCTTGTCAGGGTTTCATATCAAACGTAGGCTGCTGGATTAAAGAACCAAGCAACAAAAACACCTTTTACTGTTTTCAGTGTTTGGTGTCGTGGTTTTTGTTGCACTGCATCTTAATTTCACTTTTCTAAAGGCCACACAAGGTAATCTTCCTGTTCAGAGACATCACTCCCAGATCTGACTAAATGGGAGCAAAAGGGTCAGAAAACAGTCACTCCAAATAATAGTCTTATCATCCATCCATGGTTGGGAGACTGTATGAAATGCATCTTGGGTGCAATTAATCAAATTCTGCTGCCAGTGGTGACACATTGATGAATGCTCCCATGTTTTTACTGGTTAAAGACAAAGGTGGAAACAAAAGAAGCACATTTCTGTGTGATTTCTTACTGTCACACAAACAAAACATACATCTTTATACTTCTAGAGACTCTGAGAACCTTGTGTTGATTTATTCAGACATTTTTTGTTTCTTATTAAGTGCTTGTTTTACTGTAAAAAGCCCCACATAGGTGTGATTCATCATAACCGGATAAAACTAGAGGTGAGCTTTCATGAATTCTTATAATCAAGTATTCTGCAGATTCTGAGGGCGACTGAGGTAAACAACCTGCTGTAAAAATAAAAATGCTTTATTGAGCAATACTTAGTATGGATTGCAACATCCTGCGGTGTTGCAATACCAACGATGGGGTTTCATTTGTTTTTCTGAGGTTGGCAAAAAAATTATGTAACAGGAAATTTCATTTGAATGTGTGGCATTTTGATACCTGCATTCAGGCTATCGCATGCAGCATATCCGCGCAAGTTGCATAGAAAGTCAAGTTGTTGTTTTTCTATGTTTTCCTGCTATGGTGCATGATACGGTAATAATATGTGTGTGTATATACATTCTTGAGCACCTTTATGCATCTAAATCAAACTCTTGAATTTGTTTTAAATACAAGTGCATTCCTAAATAGACTGCTCAAAAAATAAAACAACATTTTCAAAAAAAAACAATGGGGAAAAAATTACCATGCTGGATATGAACTGGGTCGGGAAAGAAAGGATGCCACATCATTGGACAGAAATGAAAATTATCAGTCTGTAGAGGGCAGAGGTCATCCTGTTCCTCCTTGCACAAAAGAGCAGATATCAGGCGTGCTGATGGGTTAAGGAATGCCTTCCATGGTCTTCTCATAGAGTAACTGCCTGTCTCCTGGAATCTCCTCCATGCTCTTGAGACTGTGCTGGGAGACAGCAAACATTCTGGCAATGGCACGTAATGACGTGGCATCCTGGAGGAGCTGGACTATCTGTGCAATCTCTGTAGGATCACATCATACTACCAGTAATGATACTGACCCTAGTCAAATGCAAAAGTAGTGAAAAAAACACAACAAAAACGTCAGCAGCCGCCAAGTCTAAAAGCATTTCTGTTTTTGGTGGCTATCTCTTTGTTGCCCCTTTAGTGCACCTGTTGTTAATTTCATTGACACTAAAGCAGCTGAAACTAACAACCCCCTCTGCTACTAACTGCCCAGATCAATATGCCAGAAGTTTAACTGACTTGATGCTGTACTTTGAATAAATGTTCCTTTAATTTTTTGAGCAGTGTATTTATGTTGAAAGGCATAGCATAGCAGTCAGTATACACTAAAGCATGTATATATTTGTAATATCATTGGCTAAGCCATCTTTTCATTTGGATGCATACCAAATAAGGCTTCCATCTTCCATATATAGTATTTTTGTGTATTAAAAGTTGCATAGGCTTTAAAAACAATCCAGTGATGGCTGGGCTCTGTGTTTTTGATACAGAGAGATCAAATTCAGCTCTACTATATGGTGGTCCACTGCCTATCAAGCTAATACTTGATAGGCAAGCTAATACTGCTGCCAATGCTGTTCGTAGAAGTGGTTTATGTTTAAGATCGCAATTTCAGACTCTCCTCCATTAGGCTAAAACAGCTAAACTATAAGCTCAGACAGCACCAGATTAAACAGTGTTAAACTCAGCTAATGGCCCCTGTTGACCACCCCCAACACGTTGCCTCTATGCACACAACTTCAAAGCAAACAGTAAGACTACGCATGTCTACAGAGCTGATATAAAACCTGTAGCTAGTTCGCCAGAGTAATGCGATTGAGGGAAATTACAATTCTAGATGCACATTTCTCTCCGTGGTACATGAACTAACATTCATTTCAGCCATCACAAAATGTTAAATGCTACAGAGAACTGCAGGTTTCGGGCTTGTGGAAAGAATTTCAGGCAGATTCGATTTCAGGTTTACAGATTAAGAATGCAGGAGTAGTCCTAAAGGTAAACAGTGTCTTAGCGGTACATTATCCACAGTATTACCAAAGAAAACTTAACACAAAGAAATTACCACATCAAGACTGCTGCACACTAAACTTAATGTTTGTTGTTCAGGTGAACTTTGATGTCAGTGAGAGAAAGGTTAACAAAACTCTTCTTCTTCATCTGGCTGCTCTCTTTAGGGGTCAACCATCTCACCCAATCGCTAGTGTCCTCCTCCTTCTCGCCACTTCTCTATGGTCTTCCTCTTTTCCTCCTGCCTGGCAGCTCCATATTCAGCACCTCTGCCTGACCTGAGACAAAAAGGCAAGACATATGGGTGCACCATCTAAGACAGATAAAAGGGGGCACAACCACTAAGAGACTTAAAGACATATTATTATTTTTTTTTTTTAAATAGATTAGTAAATGAACTGGAAGACAGTTAAGGGAAGCTAAAATTGGGATGACATGCTCTGGTTGGTTGCATCAGATTAAAATCTAGCTGCAGTGTTTTGCACCAGTTGTGGGCGAACAATACATCGTAGCAGGTCTCACCACCATAATATAAACCTTCCCTTTTAATCTTACTGCTAACCTTCTCTTGCAAATCAGCCCTGAGACTCTCCAGCCACACCACTGTCAAACTAAAGATTTCCCCTTACTTGCAGGCATACATATTACACGTGTGCTTTCTATCCCACAACTATACAAAAGATCTACCTGAAAAGGTCCATCTATCCATTTTCACACACTGAGACCTCCTTGTCTTTATCTTGCTGGCCACCTCCTCCACCTCATCCAGGAGGGGGGACACCAAGGTGTCCCACAGTCTGCCAAGAGAGAGGTCTTCCCTGAGGCCTGTCCTCAGTAGGACATGCCTGAAACACCTCACCTAGGAGGCATCTTAAACAGGTCCCTGAACCACCTCATCAAACTGAAAAGGTCCAATTGTAAAATCAGACACAGCCACAGAGTTGTGCGGCTGCAGGATCTCACAGCCCTGTGGGGAATGAGCTGTATCAAAGGACTTTGGAGGGGAGGGGAGGGGAAAGAAAAGGGACAGGACCAGGAATCTAGCATCCCAGCAGTGAGAAGAGGGATGGATGGGACTCAAATACCCTGCGCAAATGGAAATATTTTTCAGGTAGAAAGGGCAGCTGCTGTTCATCCTTCTGCCTCTGTGCAGGAATGATTCCCACACAGGATAAACCGAGAGCAGCTCCTTATATTTCAGCAAACACCATCACTTTCTTGCTGCACACAGCACAAATCTTCCATTTCCAGAGCTCGCTCGCCCATTTTGTGTGACGGGTCCCGTATGTCTGACCCACTAACACATTTCCGTTTATCAGGCGGCGTTACGTCACGCCAGTGGGCGGAGTCTAGTCGTTCAAAACACAGCCTGCCTTCAAATCCTCCCAGATTTTTTTACGATTCCCACCTTTTTTTATTTTAAATTTTGCTCTCATTTTACAGCCTCCCTCAGCTTTTTCGGTACTCGGCGCCTTTTTTACTTTTTAAAATTTTTATCTGCTCTTCGTATATAATGCGGTGGATCTCCGTGTATTCTTTCCGACCTGGTTTTTCTTCCGAGATTGACTTCACGAACAGCATCATCCTCTGTTGTTTGTTTTCTGGATGCTTTCGATGGATATGGATTAATTTAAAAGCCGTATAAATGCACCTGCCGTCGGAGAGACACTCGGCTTTTAAAATCGCAGAGGTAAGACTGTGCGAGAGCTAAAGCGGAGGGTTAACGGGAACAAATGTTTTTGTTTGCAGCAGCAGCAACTGTGCAAGAGGCTGCAGGAGCAGCTGCGGGGCATTATCCCGCCTGGAGCCCGTCTGCGTTGTGCTGCACGTACTGCACATCAGAACAAAGTCCATACTTTCAAATGATTTTGAATTTGCATTTTGTCAGCAGTGTGGAAGTCTGGGGAAATGGCGTTATTGTTGTCGAGCAGACTTGAGCGCGCAGTTCATTTCCTGCTTCGCTTCTTTTTCTGAGTAGAGCAGATTGTTTACCAAAGCAGACTAAAAATCGCCGCTGCAAATTTCGGTTTCGAGCCAATACCAAGTGAGCGCAGGCCCAGTGTTACCGACACTGATGCTTTAACCTTCTGTAGGCAATCTCAAAAGTACATCTCAGTTTTTCTGCGTGATGAAGAAATGCCCCTGTAGTAAAAGAAATCCATCTGTAAACACGACTCTCAGGGTTTAAACTGTAAGAAATGAATGTGTAAAATTACAGATTAAACTCTGGTAGCTTGTTGCCCAGACTTCCCTCTAATTATAAAACTTTCTTTTTCTTACTATGAAACAATTTTTAAAAAAACAAATTCTAAAGTAGAAGCAGAAAAACAGGAAATTTTGTTATTTAATAGTTGTAATTAAACATGTAATGTGACCCCACTGCTGAGGTCTTTATTAGGAAAACCTATATATCCTATGAAAATACTGCATTAAATAGCGGCATTTAGACAAATGTGTCCTTTCTGATTAATAGGAGAAATATATTGAACTTGGGGGGTAGAAACAAGGTCAAGTATCAATCCAATACCAATACTAGCATTACTGTCGATACTTGGATCGATTGACTCATCTCTACTGTGGATCGTGGAAATCACATTTTTGCACAAAACTGGTTTGTATTTAAAGAAGCTGCTCAAATTGCTGTTTCTACGAAACGTTTCATCTCCCTGAACTTTACTAAGCTGCTATCATTTTTCTTCTATTAATTAAATTAATAGAAGAAAAAGAATGTGATAGCTTCTTGTCTCACCCAACCCTCCCCCCCACCATCAGGTGTGTGTGCCCTGGGTGCAGCCTGGCCTGTGCTGTGGATGTGATGAAGAACCCAGGAGCCGCGGAGAGCCGTCGGCTGGACGGCCTGCTGGAGGCCGCTCTGGTCCGAGAGGCTCGCCTCTGGAAGGTACCAGTCTTCAAGAATGGATGCATCCAGGTGAGCCCATAGTTGTTAGGGGATGCATAAATGTAGGGTGTCATTTTTGCATTTTCAACTTGAGTAAAGGTGTTTTTTAATGTTTATAAAGCACAGACATTTTATAGGCAGCTCAAACCTTTTTTATGATATAAAAAATGGAATGATGCCAACAGGAAAATCAATTTTGATTCGGTCAGTAAAAGGAGCCATTCTTATGACAGGAACCAATAAATCTCTTCATCTCAAAGTAGTTCAGCTGGTATTATAGAAAGGCAGCCTGTCATCTGGTTTTTATGTTGCTGTCATTGTACCTCTTAAAGCAATAACCACAGCAGAAAACCTTACAGGTTCTGGTTCGCGCCTGGTTGCATTTTATTCTTTCATCTAAAATGTAGTTCTTTGCACATGTAAATCATTAATCTGTTTTATCCTTTGTCCGCTCAGGGCGCTGACATCTCTTCATCCCAACACCAAGAAATGATCCTTTGGCTTGGAGAAATGAACAGGCTCTTTCGTTTCTGTCCAGAGACCTTTGCACTGGGAGTGTGTGTCCTCAACCGTCTGCTGTCTACTGTGAAGGTAGACAACAACACGTGATGGTGGTGGTGTCCGGCTTTTGTTTTGGTTTACAGCTTAATTTGCCCAGTAACTAAGGTTTACACTTTAGAATAATAGATTCTGTAGTTCTAAATTAAACTGTTCAAAGTTGCATTGCGCACATTTCACAGCTAATATTCTGTATGCACACCCTGTTAGTTTATCCAGTGCTGCAGGAACAAAGAGGTGAGAGCGAGGCAGATCTTTACTGTTGCAACATATCATGTACTTAAAAGTTATCAGTTGTGATGTTTGATTTAATTTCCGCAGGTCTTTCTTCATGGAGGCAAACTAAACAAATCCTTTTGTGTTTTATAGGCTCAAACAAAGTACCTGAAATGCATCGCTTTTACCTCACTGGTTCTGGCTGCCAAAATCAACGAGGAAGATGAGGTAAGAGCAAGCTTTAAGCTGCAATGCAAAAAGGAAACCAAGAGTTTAAGGCTCAGTCACAGTAGAGTAAAATTGGAGGGCAGCCTCCTTGCGACTGTGGGGGGGAAATCAGTGGTTGCCAGGTGACTGCAGTGAATTTATGTACTCTGATTATTGGGTTGGGTTTTTTTTTTTTTTTTTTTTTTCACACAACTACTTGAGCGTGTGATATCCTCACCCTCCACATTGGATTGCAAGGTGATTGCACAGGTTGCCTGATGTGAGGCAACCTGTCTCCAGACAATCATGGTGTGACTCGGACTCACTGCAATCACTCTCAGACTGACTGTTAAACTGATTTATAAACGTCCAGATTTCCAAAACCTTGCAATCAATCTGATACAGTCTACGAAAATTACTGCAACTCCTCTGCAACACATCTCTTTTCAGCAGGAGACTAGTTAACTGTATGTATTCTGGTAATATTCTGGCAGCAACTACGTCACTATTTATGGAATTTTCAAAACTGAGGTTCTGACTGGACACTTAATTTAGCAAGTAGATGGCAACAGAATTGGATGTTCACCGATTTATCAGTTAATTGCAATGTTAATACAAACTGTATGTAGTTGCCAACCAGTTGCAAACTGATTGCAGACTGACTCCGACTTATTGCAGTTTCAAGGCAAAGGCGACAAAATCACAAGTTTGTTGCACATGATCACTAATAATGATTTTTAAAAATAGAAATAAATAAAAAAATAAACACCTCCGACTTCAGTGCATTTTTCAAAACATTGTTTATTAATTTCCCTTTTTGTCTGTGTGTGTTTAACAGGTTATAGGCTCTGTTAAAGGCCTGGTTGTGCAGAGTGGATGCAACTTTTCAACAGCGGAGATTCTTCGCATGGAGAGGATCATTCTAGACAAGCTGCACTGGGACTTGTACACCGCAACACCCATCGACTTCGTTCACATAGTAAGAGAGAATTCAGCAGATTGACAAGCAGACAGAATTTTTTATTTTTTTTTTCTTTCTTTTTTGTAATCTGGACCTGAACTCGAAATGCTTCATGAATTCAGCTCCTGGTCTTGCATAAAAACACACGTGGTACAAAAGCGCACATAAAACTGTCATGCTTGCATCATGTTTGCTTCAAGATGGCATTCACAAACCCTCACACCTTCACCTCCCCCTAAAGAAAAGAATTGGTCCTTGTAGTGATTGTGCATTTATTTGATATGACTCAATGTGGCTACAGTTATCTATATTAATATAACAAACTCCATTCAGTTGATAAAGAAATCCTGGATTTCACTAAAAGCATATCTGGAAAGCTGGATTGTGTTTTTCTTCATGCCACTGTTTTAGAAATCAGATTTGATTTCTTTATTTTTAATGAGCAAAAATTCCAAATATTTTGTTTTTCAGGTTCTTAAATGCAGATTTTAAATAAATCCTCCAAAGATTTAATCCAGACTTTTTTTTTTTTTCTCACTTTCCTTCTAATTCATTGGCAAAGATGACATTTAGTGATTCATAGACTATTAAATTTGTCCATTGCAGAGTAAACAGATGAAAGAATTAAACTTGACATTAAAATAAAGCTTTAGTGCCACTTTGTGATCTAAAGATTTGACTTGCAGATCTCCATAGTGGACAAAATCAAGTTTTTGTGTTTTTTAAGCAATAAGTCAAGCGTTATGAGGCTTCTCTAACACAGAAGGCTGCATGTGCAAGCTGCAAGCAAAGTAACATACGTTGCATATCAGGCCAAGGCACTTCTGACTAACCCTGCAGCCTCGCTGTGGAGACCTAAAAGATGAGCGGCCAGGAGGGTATAAAGATCAAGGATCTCTAAAATTATATCTGGGGTAACCGCTCAAAATCTCCGTGTTGTGTTTACGGCTTGGATCTGTGGCACTACTTGTTAAATCTTCCCAAGTCATTGCCTGAGGAGGTAACCGCTCACTGAGCTGTCAACAAACACACACATTATTTGGATCCCCCCTCGTGCAGTTGGGCCTCGGGCTGTATTCATAATGCTTTTAAGTGAAAGTCAAAGAGCAAAAATTCACGGGACTGAGGTAAACGTCTCGCCTGTGAAGGTGCTCTAAAGAAAAATCTTTATCCATGTGATAGAAATAAAGCAGATTGTAGGCCAGAAGATGGAAGCTTTATGAATACAGCCTTGACAAATGGTTAAACTGAATTCAGCCACATGCTTTACGAGTTTTACCTACAACTCGTGATGCACACTTTCAAATGCATCTGACTTTTTAGAAAAGTTAAATATTTTTATTTGTCTTCTCATGGATTCTGTCTCAACCCACACCTCAACGACCACCAACATTCCCAACAAATGTATAAATAACATCGTTGTGATTCTGAGAGCAGTGTAGGACTGCTTCTTAAAGCCACCAACCATAAACTGTCCCACCCAAAAAGCAGCTTGGCACATTCAGGCTGAATCCCCACTAAACTTACAAGGAAAAAGAAAAAAATGGCACTTCCCCTCCAGGCTGATATTTATGTCACAGGTTTACCGAGTGCAGTTCTTATTGTGGCTCTATTATTGTCCTAGCGCTCGACTTTTCAGGTATTACAAAATCCAAGACTTTTAAAATAAAGACATGATGTATTAATAAAAACTATAATAAAATAAAGACATTTTCTCTCTTTGTACTATTCAAATAAATACTTTAACTATACTTTTAAGTATGTCACAATTACATTCCCCCGGCCCTGAAGAAGTTTCCCTTCACTAAATAAAACTGTATTCTACCGTTGTCTACAAAACGGCTAACAATAGACTCTATCGATTAATTTGTCACAGACGCTCCACCATGACACTTTGATATGAATAAATAAGAGGATTTACAGAGTTTTCTTCGTGTTACCTCTCGTCGTTCAACATCCATGTGAAACTCCTGGAGAAGCACTATCAGCTGTGTGATGGTAAAAACCATCTTTACTGCTACATTACCCTGAAAAGGACTCCAGAAAGAAGTGTAGTGGTGAGGGGGGGACTCAAGAAATTATATTGACTTTAGCGCCACACCGCTGAATCTGCAGCTCCAGGAACATCCCACTTTCTTTAAATCCCATGGCTTATATTTGCTACGGCGTAAAAGACGAAATAAAGCAGATGAACCAAACGCTATGTGACTAAATGAATGACGGGGTTTGAAACAAAAGCTGGATGAATGCATTCCTTTTTTTGATTCTCAGGATGTTCATCTAAACCAAAAGACTGAGCCAGCTTATTCAGCCTGTACTCACTGGTTTTAAAAGTGAAGCAGATTAATTAGTTTATGTTGCTATTTGGAAAAACTGAAACCACCTTCTTTTTCCACTGAGCCCCAACTCAGGTTTGTCAGTTACCTCCCACAAACGGTAACACAGAAAAGCACTGCACGTACAATACGATACAAACGAGATTACAATAAGCAGTCGGACAAAGAGGAGGGGGGTTTGGCGGGCTTCATTAGCAAAACCTGCACTGCTAGAGCTTCAGGTTTGGACCTCTACACTCACCTTTGAAGAGTGGATGATCAATCGGCAGATTGATCACGTCTTTGTTGGTGAGAAATTTGTGTAAAAGGGATGAATGATGTGCAGTTAAATGCACTGGTATACTTGATATAAATCTAGCAGGTTAGGAGTGGGCAATGGGTGGACAGACAATGAGATAACAATGACATCGTTATGGTAACATTTTGGTCTCTATTATGTTCTTTCCCCCCCCCGTTGGTCCATCCTAGTTCCACGCCATGCTCGTCTCCAGCCACCCCCACCTCATTCCGTCCATCGGTCTCGGATCCGGTGTCGGCTGGTACCCTGCAACGGACCCCGGTGTCCCCCCCGTTGGGCTGGGGAATCAGAAGAGACCTCCCGGCCTCCAGGTGGCGTTGTGGACCAGGCAGGTGCAACACTGTATGGCTTGCCACCAGCTTTGGCAGTTCAAGGGCTCCACATTGGCTTTGGCCATCATCACTTTGGAGCTGGAGGCACTCACACCCGACTGGTTCTCCATGTTAACAGATCTGCTGAAGAAAGCACAAGTAAGAAAAAGCGCCTACTACTTTCTCTGGTCACGTTAAACATCTTAACGCAAGATATTCAGGGATTAACACATACTACAGCCCAACCAACAGTTTCATGTATTCTGCAATTAGTGGTTGATTTTTAGCTCAAGTAGATTTTACCGCAAACGTGATAATGGAAAACATGGGCAAAAACTTGGACAGTATTGGTCGGTTTGTTGAACTCATGCAGAGAAATGTAATATATGTTGAAAATCTAGCACTTTCAGTCCAGGCACTCCATGAGTCGTAGCAAAGCAGTCTCTCAAAATCCAACTGGAAAAATCCCAAAAGCTTGCCCATAGCTGTAAATCTGCAAGCTGCTTTGCAACCCTGTTTTTGTTTTGTTTTTTTTCCCTGATCGAATCAATGTCATGTCAGTCACTGATGTCCACTGTGCTCTCAGCTTCTCATCTATGCGTAAGAAATAAAGCTGAGGCCATAGGACACAGCCATAATGACAAACATTTGATTGTAGAAACTGTTGCACGTCAGGTATTTCTATTTGTATACCACCAATTCACAAAAAGCTTAGCCTCGAGATGCTTTAAATCCTAGAGCAGCGGTCCCCAACCTTTTTTGTGCCACGGACCGGTTTATGCCCAACAATATTTTCACGGACCGGCCTTTAAGGTGTCGTGGATAAATACAACAAAATAAAACTAGTACCGGTACCGAAAAAATATTTATTCATAACACACGTGAAAAGACCCAGGAAAACAAAGTTAACGATAACAGAATAACGCTGAAAACCATACATTTCACACCTAAGCCTCAACTCTCGCGGCCCGGTACCAAACGACTCACAGACCGGTACCAGTCCAAGGCCCGGGGGTTGGGGACCGCTGTCCTAGAGTATTGGATTGAACTCTTATTTGCTGCCATGTCAAATCTTTAATTAGAAAAGTAACTTATTAGCAGTAACCCTGGCAACAAGCCTGTACAGGAAGTAACTAACAAAATGTTGTTTAAACACTATGTGTCTTCATTGTTTGTGTTCTGTTGCAATTTCCATTTAAAAGCACACTAACACACCAAAGTCACAAGAAAGACTTTCCTACTCTGGCAGTGGGACCATCTGAAGTATAATAGACTAAAGTAGAATCAACAATATAGTCTGTAGGCCATCATTTACATCATGCTTGTCTCTTCTTTTTCTTGTTCATCTCACACACATTATCATGCTTCTTCTTGTTCCCATCTCCCAGGTTGACAGTGCGGAGTTCATCCATTGCAAAGAGGTGGTGGACGAGTACCTGCACAGCCTGGAGTTCTCCCTGACAACCAACGCAGTCTACATTTTCAACAGCACTCAGATCCAGGAGGAAGAGCGAGCCCAAAGCCCCACGCGGCACTTACGAGAGTCCGGGAGGGACCAGGAGGACTCGGACGAGTATTACGACGGATTCAGAAATCTCTATAACGAGGAAGCGACTCCCGGGGCAGAGGGGAGCAATCGCGATGATTCGTTTGAGCAGGAGGACATCTCGTCGTGCCCCCCACTGCACCCTGCTGTCAACTAGGAGGACATTTTATTCACACCGTCCACCTTTCGTCTACAAGGACATTGTGGGACCCAGATGCTCCTCGCTAACCATAACATTTCAAGATTTTGTTTTTCCTAAAAGATTTGGCTAATGTAAAATTTAGTATTATTTTAGTTTCTTCTTTGCACTTGTCCTCATTGACTCTGAAGGTGTCAGGATTTTTTGGGGGGTCTTATTCTGATCTTGTGGCTTGTTCTTGGCGGCTGAGCTGAAGCTGTGGGGAATCACTTACGTTACCAAAATTAGATTTGAATGTTTCTCTTTAGTGCAAAGTTACTGTTCTACCTGTAAAGGCCTTCTTCCCCTTACTTTACAACCTTCTTTTGGTTCACATCAACTCCAGATTTTTTGGGGGGTGTTTGTTTTGGGGTTGTTTTTTTTGTTGTTGTTTTTAAGGCCTGTTTATTTGCTTCTTTTCCAAGTTTGACGGTGCCCCCCCTCCCGAGCCACATAGCACTTTGATATTAAAAAAAAAAAGCTTTTTTTCTTTTTTATACAAATAATTATATATTTTTAACCTCTTTTTATTATTTTAATCTTAACTCTACTAAAGTTTTCCAATTTTGTTAAATGTTTATTTACCCTTTTATTTAGAAAAGTTACATTTTTACTTAAAAGCTTTATTTCATGACTTAATTATGCAAATGTTTTTATTTAAGTTGCAGCCTGAGTTGGTTTAAATTATGCAGCTGTTAC